TCCGACAAGTTAGATGAATTGAACAAGCCAGATGAATCCGACAAGTTAGATGAATTGAACAAGCCAGATGAATCCGACAAGTCAGGTGAATTGAAAAAGTCAGATGAATCCGACAAGACAGAAGATAATGATAATGATAACGATGCAGTTAATAACGGAGACAACAGTTTGTCAGAAATAAGAGAAAATGATATTCCCGATTCTTATGCTCCCGATGAAGAGAGAGAAGCAGAAAAAGTTATTGGTGCAACTAATGCTAGTGGCCAGTTGATGTTTTTAATGAAGTGGAAAGGAATTGATGAAGCTGAATTAATCTCAGCTAAAGTGGCTAATATATTGTACCCACAAATTGTTATCAAGTTTTATGAAGACAAAGTTAAATGGAATTCTAATGCTGGTGAAAATCAACTAATATAATATAGATAAGGATGACAAGTGTTCAAAAAGAGACTTATTTTATATCAAATTCTAATGTAAATATCTTCAATTATTTTATGTAGCAGGTATGTCTTGAGATAAAATTATTAGTTCATCAATCATTAAACATTTAAATGTTAGTAACTAAATACTTTCATTAAATGTCATTTTTTTTTATTTTAGCGATACAACTTAATAATAGTGTTCTTTTAGAATTTATTTACATTTCAGTCTATGTAATAAATAACTTATTGATTTTGCAATTTTTCATAATTGATTTGCTTATATTATAATGTAATAGTAAAATATTATAAAAAATAGCCAAAAATATTTTAACTTTAGTTTATTTAGTTAGTATTTATTTATTCAAATATCAAGTCTAAACATTCAATACTTGTTTTATTTTAATAAATAAAAGCATTTTTTCACCATACTTTATCTTTTATTTTAGACAGAACACTAGAGATTATTTAAAATCATATATTTTATTTTATTACTTTTAGTTTTTGTTTAATATTATCAAGCTAGAATTCTCTTTATAATTATTTTTACACTTACAAACTGTATTTTAATAATATCTAAGCAAAATCGTGCAGAATTATTTATTTTATTTTAAATCTTTAAATTTATCTTCTGAAAGACCAATAGAATAGAATTCTTATTGGAATAAGCTTGTTTATATAACTTTTATTTTATATTAACTTAAAAATTTTAATTTCTAAATTTAATACCATGTAGTTTTCTTTTAACTTGATGAAAATCGAAATTGAAAATATTAAAGTACTGTTTATTAATTCATTTGAATTATTTTATCACGTGTTTTAATAAAATAATAACCCAAGTTTTTTGAATTAAACAATTGAGGTTGATTTGAAATTTATAATCATGATAATCAAGAAAAAGTCATGATACCATTATAGTATGTTTGATAAAGAATTAATAATTAAATGTACAATTGCTAAGTGTATGTAATTCAAAGTAAAACAATATTAAAAAACTACAGATTGTTTATTAATCGTAATATTTTTTATTAAATGTGTTTGTAGAGTTAGTAATACACATGTTTAAATAATTATTAGTATTCTCGTACTTGTGAAGTTAAGCATAGTTCAATTTTAGATTATGTAGGTAGTACTAGTTGGAACTTAACCTAAAAAATAAATTGAAAATAAACTACATTTTAATACAATTTGTTTGGGATAAATGTAATACAATTTACATATCTTTATAAAATAATACTTAAAGATATTTTGAACAAAATTAAAAATTAAATTGTATTACAATGACAAATCTCCACATCAAAAAAAAAAAGGAGATCTAAGTTTTGGTAAATAAAGAAATAATACAGGTAAAACAAAATAGTAGTTGTTTTGGGTTATTACAAAATATATCTTTGAAAATTTTAATAAGTAAAGATACATAACCAAGAAATATTTTTATAAAGACAAAGAATCCGAATAAAATTGTAAAAATGAAAATTTAATATCATAATTTGTATATTCTATACAAATAGACAGAACATTTGCCCCGAGGACTGGGAAGCGTGGTCGTGCTAAACGGATTAAGAGAGACACCTTTAGTTTTATCATAATAGTGAGAGAAATGAAGCTGTCCCGAGGACAGCCAATTAAAGTGTTTGCTTATAATTTTCTTAGTGATAAGATAATTATTTGTCATGATACTAATGAATAATGATAGTATAATTAATATTTTAAAATATAACGTTTTAATTGTTTCATGTTGAAACTTCAACTCGTTAATTGTTTTTAAAATATAAAATATAATAAACTGTTAAATAAAATCTGTTTGACTAGTCTTATTAGTCTATATTAGTATTTCAATTTTTTTTTTTGTAGTTTGTTTTAAAATTATAAATGTTCCATTGACAAATCTAAAAAACATACAAAAGCAATAAAATAATTATATGACTTTTAGTTTATTGGATCATAATAAATATTAAATTTTCAGTTATAGTTAATTAATTTATTGATTCATGTGTGTAACTAATTTTGTAAATTTTTGCCTGAATGAAGATTTGAATACATCATCGTTTATCCTGGTTCCAATGTGTCTTAAGACAAACTTTCAAAAAATGTATAATTAGATTAATTTAATTGCTCTCTATGATTATTGAATACACATTGATTAGATGTATGATCTTCAATATTCTGAAAAACATCCATGTACAAAAATAAAAAGATACTATAAATATCTTGCTTTATTTTAGTTTTTAGAAATAATATAATATTATCTTTATTAAATAATTCAGTTTAGTATTATTTTAGGAAAGCTTCAGCATATTTACATATAAGTATATCATTACTTGGATTAATTAAATTACAACCATCTCATTGTTTGAACTGCAAAAATTTTATAATACAATTTGGATTTTTTTGAATTAGTATGTTTTTACAAAATGAACAATCAATTCGCAGTTTTACTTTTTTTACAATAAAGCCAGCTATGTACTCAACAACATCTTCTACATAGTTGCTGAGACTTACTAAACTTTCAATGTAATCATGATCAGTTAATTCTTTGCTTGAACCTTGAGTTATGTTATCCGTAGCGTTGAACTCCAGTGGTAAAATAGTGGTAGCATCTAAAATACCACAGTTCCCAAAATATGATGCTATTATTTGGTTATTTACAAGTAAACGTTTATAAACATGTTCAAATTGAAAACAACTTAGATTGTTGTTAAATTCACTTCTTCCTCGAGCTGCACTAAAAAATGTTTCTAGATGGTCCTGCTAATATTTATAAGTAAGCATATAACCATGATTTAATAATTACTTATCATTTAAAGTTCTATAAATTTGTATGCAGTTTTCCAAGTCTAATATTAATCCAACAAAACCTGTATTTCTAGAATGATTTACTATATTAATTTCCTTGGATAATGCATAACCTTGCTTTTTAGTGATTTCTTTAAGTGTCAAACTCATTACATATCCTTTAAATTGTTCTGTGAACTGTTCATATTTCTCTAATGTTTCTAAACGTATAGGTTTACCATAAGGAGCTTTGTTAAATTTACTTCGGCTATTCAATATATCAAAAGCTCTGTTGAAATATTGGCAAAATTCAGCTGTTGCAAGAGCATTATTATATTCAGGATTAGTATTAAAGAGGTATTTCAAAGTTGAACTCATACTTTAACTTAATACTTGCACCGCTAACTTAACCCTCATTTTTTCATTCTGGTAATGTATATGTCTATTTGTCAATTTTGTAGCTAAATGTAAACCTTGATCCTTTTGTTTTTCATGAAGCATTCTTATAAAATTCCAATCTATACATTCTCCTTTATTATTATATATTTTTTATTTTTCTCCAAAACAGTTGCGAACCAATTTCATCATATGTGCCGCATCCCATATTAAATAAATTGGTTGTTGTGTAATAGGGTGGTCAATATAAGCCTTCATGTTTTTTGGAGAAAAATTGACTCCTAATTTAGTGCACATTGTTTTATTTATATTTATTCCATCATGTGTAATAGAATGTAAATGAGAATTTGTTTTGTGTAATAAAATAATGCATTTTGTCAACAAATTAGCTCTTCCTTCTCCATTTAATCCATTAATTGCAAAATATCCTACAGGGATTTTCCAATGACTGTTAATGGCAACAGCCATAAAAACAAGGATATTAGTAGCTAGAGGCCTGTCTCGCTCATCTCCATCATACCCTATTTCAGTCCCCATATTTACAAATCCACTCCACTCACTCCAAGAGAGATTTTTTTTAATTGCCATTTCATCTACTGTTAGATTGATGGCAACTTTTTCATTGGCAGCTTTTAAGGAAATTGCATGTAATGCTTCATGACTAAAACCTGGTTTGCCATTAACTACTTTGTACCACCGACTAATACTTTTAGGATGAGACAAGACATTTTTGAATGTGCTACGTACAAAATCATATGCCCTAGCTGAATAAAATTGTAGTGTTACAGAAAATTGTCTAAGCTCAGCAGTAAATTTTCTTTTTTTGTTTTTTATCATAAGTTCTCTTAATACTGTAGATTGGCAAGACTAAATAAATAATAATTAATTTAGGCATATTATAAATTATAATTTATTGGTGAAAGGTGGTATTAAATATATAATTTAACCTAGTTACCTTAAGAATTAGTGATGCTTGTTCAGATAACATATTTTGTTTTTCTAGAACCACTATCATTTCCTTAAGATGTTTTACTTTTTTTAATAATCTTCGATTACACTCTGTTAAATATTTAATCTTTTTATCTTTGAGAACTAATTAGTTTTTAATTAAATTTAAATTTAATTTAGCTCTCCTAGGTGTTGAAAAGTTTTCATTAGTCAAACTAGCAACATTAGATGGTCGCTAAATTAACCTGTACAAAATTAATAATAAATTAATTTAAAAGTTTTCATTTGCTACATTACTAATATAAATTTTTAAATTACCTTCTTGCACAGTGTGGTGTATTTATTAATGAATCATTTGTATTTTCACCGTGGTCATTCACATTGGATAAAAGGGTACTAGTAATTATATTTGGACTGTTAAATATAATATAATAATAATATATACTAAAATTTTTGGAATTTTATAAATTTTACTATCAAGATCTAAATAATACCTATTTTCAATATATGGTGTACTTGATTCTGAACAACTTAATGTTTTATTTTTACTATGTAAGGGAACATATTATATTTCAATTTGGTCTCTAAATTCCCAAAAAGTATAAAAATCATACTACTTTGGCATAAAATATACACATATTTTTAACTTACTCAACAAGTATTGGGAGCAGTGCCGTAGATAGATACTTGTGTGCCCCGGTGCAAATTGGTGTAGGTGCCCCATAAATAGTGTACACCATTTATAGTGTACCATGTATTAGAATAAATATATGAAGACAAACTAATTTACACAAGTTTTATATAATTTAATGTAATATCAAAGAATTTTAATAAGTTAACATCTAAAACGTTATGAGATATATTATAACAATAACTACATTATATATTTATATTAGGTATTGATTATTTAAAATTAACTTACAATACTAAAAATGAAA